TAAGAAAATTGGGGTTGGTGGTCTCCCTGGGGACGGGGAAGCCTCCGCAGGTCCCGGTGAGCTCCGTGGATGTTTTCCGCCCTTCCAACCCTTGGGAGCTGGCGAAGACCGTCTTTGGGGCCAGGGAGCTTGGCAAGATGGTGGTGGATTGTGTGAGTACTGGGAGGGGGCTGCTTGCAGGGAGGGGGCAAAGGTTTCCAGTCTTCAGCTTCTTCCTTTTGGAAGAAAATTGGAACTGAATGGAGTTAGTTGGGTGACCTAAGAATTGCGGGTCTAAAGCCCTGTCTGCCTGTTCAGGGTTTCACGTGCCAAGGGAGGTACAGTTTCTGCAGCTGTAAGGAGCTAAGGTGTGGGAGAGCTGAGGACAGATTGGTGGTCAGTGGCCTCTAGGAACATCTGCAGGTGTGAGTTCATGAAACTCAGTATCTTTCCAGCAAGCACTGATTATCATCTGAGTAACACCTGGACCAAAAAAATCACGCCTCAGAAAACAGGAATTAATTTTTCTTTTGTGATTCCCCATTGGGGGAAGTTAGCAAATGCCAGAGAAGTGGGAGTGTCACTAACAGAAAGCAGTAGTTCAGAGCTGTGGTTAGGAGTGTGTAGTAGTTGTGTATTCTTGGATGCTTCAGGAAGAAGCTCACTTAAGTGTTTATGAAAACACTCCAAATGAATGAAAGCCAGAAAGATCAGAACTGAAGTTTTGTCTGTCATCTTAATTCTGTCTCTTTATCTCCTCTCAGCTTCCTAAATCCAGAAAATACCTGGAGAGGTCCCTCTGCTACCCCTGTCTTTTATTTCAGGGTTCTCAGGGAAACTGTCCCAGGATAGCCCAGAAGGCCTACAGTAGTCATAGGCTCTTCTAGTACTGGGTTTGGAGAGAAATGGATAGAGATGAAATCTCAAGGAGTCTGTATTTCAGATCATACTGGGGCTTCCTTGAAAAGAATCCATTCAGTGCTATTGTGGAGGATCTGCAGGGTGTAATTCCTTGTGTCCCAAGGATCCAGGAGCACTGTTCTTACGTTAAAAACCAAAACACAAACAAAAAGCAACCCCACTCTTGGTGCTGAACGTTTGCCATCCAGGATGCACTTGCTCCTGGTTTTCCCCTCTCCGTGGCTTGTGCAAGTTCAACTTAGTGCCAGGGGAGCCTCTTCTGGGCAGGGGGAGGGCAGTGTGACAGTCAGGCTCTAACAGTGGCCTGGTTCTCCCGCAGTGCACTGACGCAGATGGCCCAGCTGTGGATCGTGCCAGGGCCTGGTGCGAGATGACGGATGTCCCATATTTCCGGTAGGAGCTTCCTTTCTGCTCTCAGCACAGACCTATTTTTAGCCCTCTCACTTCGGACCTGCCTATGGCATTCATCATCCCAAATCGTGTCCCCTCCAGAGGCATTTCTACCTGCACTTGTCCCCCTGCCCCTTCTCCTCATGCCTCAGTGGCTTATCAGAGCATTTTGGTTTAGCTGTACCAAAAAACAGAGCATAAAACTGCTCTCTGTTACCCCCCTCCACCTTCCCAAAGGAAGACAAAAGAGGAACAAGGAAGAGAGACCTAAAGGTTGGGAATTAAAACTGAAACAGGTTTACTAGAACAGGGAAAGGGCAGTAACACACAGGATGAGGAACAAATATATACAAATATGTACAAAACCTGATCTCTGATCACAGTTGTAAGTGTCTGAGGGTCCCTTGCAGCACAGCTGACTCGGGAGGAGGGTCTACTGCTCTTCCCAGTACCCAGTGAATTTGGATCCTGCAGAGCATGTGGCAATTTGATGACAAAACAGGAGCCTCTCACCAAGACCTCCAAGTGCGGTCAAGCAGCAAGGAAGAAGGAAGTAGGCAGGGAGCAGGCTTTCAGCTCTCCCAGCTTTTACAGAGTATGGCAGGAAATGGGAGGGAAAACTGACCTTTCTCTGTCCCACCCCTCCTGGATTGCTCACAGTCCGGAGGCCCTCTGTCTAGGGGCATTGGTACCACAGAATTATCCTGGCCCCCTCAAACTGTAACATGGAGGATGCCACAGTTCGCTCTGAGCTGATGCGCTAGGCATGCCTTGTCTGGGGTAGGTTAGCAGGGGCTTGGGAGGATGCTGTCTGACAGGGTCCTGAGGGGATGTGCCTCCTGCTCTATCCCACCACACACAGCATGTTTTGAGGCTTGTGCTTCAGGTGGTGCAGCTGCTGAAACTGAGTCTCAGCCTTGAGGATGGTTGTGCCTTGAAGGAGGGGGAAGTCCTCTGCTCTGCCAGCCATATAGACAAGGGGAAGTGAATGCCTAGGATGGCAGGAGCCACTTTACCTCAAGTCTTGTGCTTGGCACACTTGCTGCCCTTCTGTGCTGATGTTTGTGGTGATGCTGTCTTGCCATATGCAGGCTGAACCCTCAGCTGCACACGGAGGTGATGTTGGATGAGGTGAATGACACCGTGCTGGTGAATGCTCTCTGGGACACCCAGCTTTACATCTACCAGCATCGGGAGCAGTTTGAGCAGCTGGTGCAACACCTGTGCCGATGACTGACCTGTTCAGCATCCCCATGGCAAGGAGCAGCAGACACTGAAATGGCTCAGATTCGCCCTTGAACCAAGATGCTGAGGTGGGGGAGGGACTGTTACTACTAATAACAAGGTACTAATGTTATTTAGTAGAAAATAAGTGCACATATACATGTATTCCAGGACACACCCCTGTATTCCTGGACAGCTGTGAAATACTGACAGTTACCTTTGTACTGTGGCCCTGACTGCTGCTGTGCTTGGTTTTCTTGCCCTGCTCTGTGATCATACAGCCTGTCCCACAAGCCAGAGAGCCCCCCCCCCCCCCCTCTTTGCG